CAAATTGCGTGGTGTCCACCACAAGGTGAAGAACTCATCTGCCACAAAAGAGGCATCCTTGGCCGCGCGCCTGCCATATTCACCCCTACCTGCTGGACTTTACACCCAAGCGAGCGAGCCAGTCCCCGAAGTTCGGAAATCGGGAAACATACGCCCTGACGCTGAAGATTCCCGTCCCAGTCGTCGGCGGAAGCTCGTTGACCGATCGCCTGAGACTTTGTCTTTGAACCAGCAGAAGCCTCATGCTGGCTACGTATGCAATCGCTGCGGAATACCAGGTAGCTGACAATGAAGCCAAGAAGATTGTCGTCGGAAAACTAACGAGGGACTTGCCAATACAGGTCACTTCATTCAGCACTGCCCCTCGACCAAGCCTCTTCTTCATAAGAAGTACGTCTGCCACATCTGCGGAGAGTGTAGAGATCACCTTATCCAGGACTGTCCTCAGAAGAGGGCCAACACTTCCACTGCTTCCCTCCGACAACGGTCTCGGAACACGGCGATATCGAGCGAAGACCTGAGACAGAGCTCATCGAAAAAGCGCAGTCACTCCAGATCTGTCAGCCAAAGTTCCAGCATCAATGGACGCTATATGAATGAGGAGCGAGCCCGACTTTTGCAATCTAGCCCTGACAGCGACCAAGACGAATCACCGAATTTCCAAAAATTCAGTGTAGGTCCTCGTCAGTCTGGAAGCAACTCTCAACCACTCGGACATCGACTTCGTTCGGACTTTTATCGCCCTATCGACTTGAACCTTGCGGACGATAGTAGCCGTCCCGAGAGACCACGCCAACGCGTTGACACTTATCGCCCCAACGACACTCGTCAATTCATCGATACGTACCGTCCTGATACTTCCAGCCGTCTTGACGATACGTTCCGCTCTGATGAGCATTCTCATCTCAATCTTGCCTATCGTCCTAAGGAATCGGAGAGAACTGGTGCCTTGGGCCTGAAAAAAGCCATAGAGCAGAGTCTAGATAGAGAATTTGACGAGGAAGAGGCGAAGCTTCGATCCCGCCTGACCAAACGGCACACTGACGGCAGACTCTCTCCTTGGGACGATATCGAAAGACCGGCGAAGAGACAGCGGCACGAACACCCCTTTGCTGGCGGTCTCCCTTGGGACGACGTTGAGATGCCTCCCAAAGAGGAACACCAATCTGCTCTCATGGGCCGAACTATGCAGAGCCTTGGAGCTGCCAAGAAAGACTTGGACGTCGGCACAGAAACGAAGCCAGCTGGCGCATCCGAGAATATTCCCGTGGACAAAGGCGGAGCTTTAGACTCAGCCGAAGACATGGAGCCTGGAAGAGTAACTGACTCGCTGTGGAAGCAAGCAAGCATGGAGTCGGACGAATTTTTCGCGGCGTTAGGAAGAGAGCTTTTCTTCCGGGCGCAGCCAGGTGCCTTCGAGATCATGCCTATCACTCAGTCGAACGATGGAAGTATGGTCATGCAGTCCGCTTCTCCGCCGTCTGCGACTTTCCAGGAAGAAATTATCATGCCCAGAAACCTCGATTCTGATGATTACTACAATGGCAACACCGACAACGACGATGCTTCCATGGGAGATGCCCCTGACGAGATGGGTCAGGCTCCAAGCACCCCCATCGAGGTGAACCATGGCTCATCTCATGCGGAGGAGGTTATTATCCCTTTGCAAACCTTGAAGCCTCTTCATAGAGGTTCTCCGTACGATCCTCACGTCTTGGCTCTGTTCCGAAGCAGGCGGCACGAGAACGTTTACGTCAATATTGCTCGCCGACGCACCGCTATTGAGATTGATGAGGCTTGGGAGCCGGAGGAGGAACACTCGGCCACCTCGAAAATAGATGAGTAGCCTTGCATTCGATGGCTGCTCAGCTGGTTCCAGTTCGTCCCGGTCTGGCTATGATCGGCCAGATACTTCTGTTCTGAACCCGGCACCAATTTGCGTACCTTTAACATTCTTATCTGTTTTTCGTCGACTTTGGAGCTGCGGATCTACCATTTGCCAAGACACCTTGGCTCATGATAAGAAGCCAGCTCTTCCACCTCTTTACCATTCGCGAGGTCAGCTTGTGTTTTCCGAGCTCGGCCGTCGGCTTTTTCTTCTTTTCTTTCCCATGCGTCTGGATTGCGTTCCATAACTTGGGCAAAAGTTTGCCTCTGAAGCCTCGCCCGAGTTATGTTTCCTCGGGACTGGGGACCAGAGGGCTTTTCTTTGGGCCTTTGGGTGGTTCCGTGGTATTTTGCATTTGGGCGTTCGGATGGATGTGCAACCAGGTCACATTTGCCGACGGGGTTATCTATCTAAGGTGCCGAAGGTGTATCTAGGATGCTCCCAAGCATCTAGTCACATCATCTCCTCCAAGATTTGCCCAGCAGGGTTCTTCAAGAACAGCTGGGTCGAGATTCGTGAGAGAGAAGATGATGCACCGTTTTCATGATTTCAGTAGGGGAGGTTGTCCCTGAAATTCCTTACATAGTATTTATTCCCACGAAATCAAAAGTTTGCCAATTGACATTGCAGCCAGTCGCGTAGGTATCGCTCTTGACGAAACTCCAGACTCCGGCCAACCCATACGCCCATATATGACAGTGCAGAAGTCCGCCAGTCTCCAAACGTGATTAAGCCTCAGACTGAGAGTAGCGTGACCCAATCCAGTCTTCTACAACACCGTACCGTGCCGGCAATCCCACCTCCCCTCCCTTCCCTAACAACACCAACACACAGCCAGACTTCCCTTTATTCCAATTTATCCAAGTGTTCTAACCTCGTCAACACGACCTGCTTGCTCGTCTCCTCGATCTCGCCGGCCAAGAACACCTCGTCGAGGATGGCGTAGACCTTGTAGAAGTTGAAGACGAGGTCGAGCTCGCAGACGTTGCCGAAGAAGGCGTCGAGGACCTCGACGAAGAAGTGGATGGCCTCGAGGAAGGCGAGCTCGTTGTCGTTTGTGTCGACGCAGGCGCAGAAGAAGAGCCCTGCGTAGCGGCGGTAGACGATCTTGTTGTTGCGGAACTCGACGAAGTTGGATTGGTATTTCTGGTCTCGGGGGGCGACGAGGCGGTGGACCTGTTTACGCGGGGGGGAGGCTGTTAGGATATGTGTGATACGGAATGGTCGGTCTGATTGGGATTGGGCGGATGTCGTACCTCGCCCTTCATCTTGATCTTTTCATCGTCACTGTAGGGTGCGTACCACTTCGCGAGACGGGTCTTGCCCCTGGATGGCGCGAAAGGGGGGAATATGTCAGCGAGAGACCCTTTTATTACACGTTCCGCATTGGAATTGACTGGACATACTGGCGATTCTGGATCAGGATGAATGAGAGCATTTTGGCGACGTCGGCGATATTCGCATGTCGGACTCGTGGATTACTTCAGATCCCCGCGCGTGTGCTTCAAGTTTCGAGATGTTGAAGTCGGCGGCCACGGAGCTTCGGGTGTGGGTACGTACCGGGGGGTACGGGCGGGTGCTGACAGCTTTCAATCCATCAGCGGACAGTGGTTTCCCTTTCCCCTGAACGACCTAACGGGTCCGAGTGGGGACTGAGGCGTCGAGATGGGAAGGTGTGGCACGGGCAGTGTGGCACCGCGATGTGAGGACTACATCGTCCTCCTCCTCGCATTGTTGCTGCTCGAATGGCGAATTTACCACAACCTACTGTTAATAAGATAACTTATGGGGAAAATGCGAAGATGTATCAGATTTCAAAATCTGCAGTCTACGCCATTCTGAGTCTTTGGAAAAAGACGTTATTTGGGTAAAGTATCTGTTCACCTATCAAGGTCAGTTCTGCTCAGGGCGATGTAATCCTCACACCTTGCGTAGTCCATCTAGAGCAGGCAGGCAACTGAGGCCAAAAGTAAGGTTCCTTCCTACCTAGTGCAACTTACTTTACCTTGGTGGAAAGCCAAACGCAGTCTCTCTACCCGACCTTGTGGACTTGAAGTGACAGAAACCTATATAAACCCCCTCTAGCACGCCCATCCTTCAAATCTCTTTTTCTTTCCTTTCTTCTTCATCCGAGTGCAAGGGCATTTCGCGTATCCATGAGGATCAGTCCTAGATCGCGTTTTTGCTAGTTGAAAACTATCTTCGTAGTTTGGCTTGTCTCCTAGTTGACCTAGGTCAGCTGGGGAATCTTTGGAACCTACCTTTCTCTATTGAGAATGCTCTTTTTTTTGATTCTCATTGCTTGCGGCCCCTTGTTTGGGTCGTGGTGAAGGATTTTTGTGTGTGGTGCTGGATTGATGGCTATCTACCTTGGACATAAAGTGCGGATGGCTCTGTCGCTTGTCGTTGGGTACCTTGGAACGGTGTTTTGTGATGCTGTCGGCGTCTGGTTGTGATTTCCAGATTGATGTGTCGTTGATCTTTAATCTCAACTACGCTGCAAGCATGTCTCTATCTTTCTATGATACCTTGTAGATAAAATTTGAGAATAAAGACTGACCTAGATATCCGTAAACTGTGAGCATCGCTAGTGACATGTCCATTCTCTCATTGCAATTCATTCTTTCTTTGGATTCAGAGTGAGCTGATTTGGGCATCGATACTCTTCGCCGTCCTTCTCGCCTGTCTGGTTGATGTTGTTGATATCGATCTTGGCCTGCCGCTCCCACCGCAGCCATTGATCAAGACCCCCCTCGACAATACGGGGGTAAAAGAAAGCTGTCGAATGTTGGCGACCATATCAATACTGAGACTCTATGTAGTGCTTGGCGTTAGTCCTCGCTCCTGTCCATTTGCATGAACATAGACCATCACTATCAGGATGTCATTTGCCGAACATTGCCCAGATAATCAGTTTCAGGAGTGTATTTGGAGAATATTAGTTGGAGCCGTCAAACTTAGCATGGGAATGTCCAGTCGTGGATGCGAATAGGGTATCATTTCTGCTGTTCCATGAATCGGTGATCTCCTGCATCTATACAGAGAAGCCATGTTTCCCCAAAAGCGCTTTCAAGCTCGCTATTTGAGATAGCCCCGCAACGATTGCTTCATTTCAACCCTTCACCCACCCAGGCACATGATCCAAATCCAGATCCTCCTCGTACTGCCTCTCCCGAATAGCCGTCCACGGCGTCGGCCACCCAGCCAACACGGGACTCTTCTTCGTGGCACCCATGACGGCGAACCTCCCCTGCGAGTGCGCAATGAAGCCGTGCATGAAGCCGAGCTGGATCAGCACCGAGACGTTCATCTCCACGTCGTCCATCTCCACGGGGGAGTTACCCCAGACCAGTCCCTCGTTGGGGCGCAGCTTCTTGGGCCCGCCAGGCGGCGGGACGAGCGTCGAGGCCGCGTCGTGGCTTACTGCTTTGAGGAAAGCGGGGGACGCTGTCGACGGTGCGAAGGAGGAAGGCGACTTGGAGGGGATGTAGCCTTCGAGGCGGTGTTGGAGGTACTGGGACGTTGCGTGGAGGTCCGCGAGGTCCATTGTTGCGGCGCGTCGGTTTGTGTTGGAGGGGTTTGCGTCGTCTTGGCCCGGAGCGTAGGTGAGGAGAAATGTTCTGCGGGAGAGGGAGCGCCAGAGCAGAGGTCTGAGGCGATGAGTGAGAACGAGGAGGAGGCCCTTATCAAAGAGATATTTCTCGTGCTGGGCCAGCGTCTGTTGGAAGAGGACAAAGTCTCCCTTGCGGATCGCTTGAATCAGTGGTTGGTAGACTGGTACGAGGGCTGATGCCTCAGGGCGAGAGAGCAGGAGCTGGGAGGGTAGACGGCCCAGCAAGAAGTTGCAAGGGACGAGGTAGCTGAGGACCAGGGCGCGATGAGATATGAGGGGTGGTGGGATCTGAAGGTAGGCCTCTTCGAGACAGAGCGCTGCGCGGAGGAAGTGACAGTTTGCGAGGTTGAAGCGGCCTAGGTAGTAGAGGAAGTTGACGCGCTGTGATGCCGGATAGAACGATAATGGTGGCGAATTTGTGGAGATATTTGTGAATATTTGTTTCGCAAGATGCGTTCTCCGACACTGTAGGCATCCATCAGTTAACGCGCTCGGAGTTTTGGGAAAGGAAATTGAAGACACACGGCGAAGAGGAGCTTTAGCACTAGGTTGGCGAACATGTAAACGCCAACCTTCTTGCCTTCCGGCTTGCTGTACCGCGCGCTAGAACGGTCCGTAAGGCAAGTGGTGAAGATCTTTTGAATGATCTCAGCCGAGGATTCGGCAATGGACTTGCGGTCGTCGGCGTCGACGTTACGGATGTTGCGCGTAAGATCCGGACGCTTTGACAACATCATTGTCAGGCGCGACAGGGACTCGCAGAGGGAAATTGCCGTCTTTAGTAGCATACCTCCATAGGTAGGGTGGGCAAAGGCGGTACTACAGGAGCTGTGTGGGTGTTAGCCGATTGCTCTTTGACTATGAAAGGCGCGGTCGAGGACCATGAGATCTGCTTCAACAGAGCTGATGAGGAGTTCTCATCGGTGACTTACTTTACCAGCCCACTGAGCAACGTGTGCGCACCCAAAAGGTCATCATAGTCGACGTCGCGCCAGAAGACCATGTAGTCCTTCATAAAAGTCACAAAGCCGGGCCACGGTGAGCCCTGGCCCTCGGGCACGTCGTCCTCTTCGGGGAGGCATTTCTCTATCGTGCTCTCGAGCGCTGTGCTGCTTGTCCCGTTGGAGCCATGCCGTGATGAGCGGAACTGCGTCCGCAGCTCATTGGCGAGGGCGTGATATTGTTGATTTGCATTGGGCTCGACGAGGAGCCAATTCCGGAGCTCGTCGATGTTTTGAGCACGGACGAATGTGCGGATCTGGCTGAGGAATTGAATTAACAGGGACATCGTTGGCACGGAATTGAAAAGCGCCAAAAGTGATGCCTCATTCGGGGAGCGAGGCGAGGCCGCGAATCGTGAAAGAAGAGGTGAGGAATCCTTGCGGGTTGTGGTGAAGGTGGAAGTCCAAGGTGAGAGAGCTCGAGCCAGACAAGGTGAAGTGAGTAGAGGTGGATTCTTCGGTGTACGGGGAACAAGGGTACGTGCTCGGTGAGTGGAGCCGTACATGGAGCTGGTCGGTCGTCACTTTTCCTGGGTAGCTTCAACATACTTTGTCAAGAGTAACATTTACGAATGATCTGCGTCAAGTTTTCTACATGGGATATCGCATTTCCAAAAGCATCCGAGCACAGTCTGCTTTTCCATTTGAATTCCAGTTTTTCACAATTTACGCCCTCTCATATAACGCGCCGAATCCGCTTTGATCATCCTAACCTGGGCGGAAGGTAGCTTCTAATTCGCGCATGAAGGTAAGCATCTTGTGCATGCCACTTCCCTTTTTCACCCAGCCTAGACGCTGCCGGGAAGCCTACCCGCGACGATGGACACATGGCCAATTACACGGACTCGACACGCTGCACGACGATCGCCGTGGCCGCGCCGCCTCCGTTGCAGATGGCTGCAACACCGTATTCGCCAGGCTTCAGCTGGTGCAGCAGAGTGACGATAATTCGTGATCCGGAGCTACCCAGGGCGTGGCCGAGGGAGATCGCTCCGCCGAGAGGGTTAACCCGAGCACCCTCCAATCCGAGAATCTACCCAATGGCTGTTAGTCGCGTTTCATTGATTGACTGATTGTGGACGCTTATCATACCTTTTCGTTTGCCTTGATGACAGCGGCAAAAGCTTCGTTAAACTCCCATACGGCGACTTGGTCTTTGGTGATACCCGCTCTCTCAAGTGCGATGGGTACCGCCTTGGCTGGAGCGATGGGGAAGTCGATAGGATCAACCGCGGCGTCGGCCGAGCCGCAGATCTTTGCCAGCACTCGAGAATCGGAACCGTATTTTTGCGCAATCTCCTTGCTGCCCAAAACAAGTGCACTGGCACCGTCGTTCAACGTGGAGGAGTTGGCAGCAGTGACAGTGCCGGTGCCGTCGCGCACAAAGGCCGGTTTCAGGGTAGGCACCCTGTCGAACTTGACGTCGAGGTATCCCTCATCAGACTCAATAACTGTGTCGCCCTTCCTTCCGCGAACAGTAACAGGAGCGATCTCCTCGGCAAAGGCGTTGGCTTTCCACGCAGCCTGAGCGCGCTTGTAGGACTCGATAGCGTACTCGTCTTGCATCTCGCGAGAAATATCGTACTTCTTAGCCGTGTTCTCGGCGCAGTTGCCCATGTGGAATTTGTCGTAGACGTCAGTCAACCCGTCCTTGATCAGGCCGTCCTCCATCTGGACATGCCCGAATGGCGGCAGGCTAGAAGCGCGGGGCACATAATAAGGCACCCTCGTCATGTTCTCCATGCCACCAGCAACCTGCGCCTCCGACAGACCGAGCTGGATGTTTTGTGCGGCAAAAACAACGGCTTTCATGCCGGATGCGCAGACCTTGTTGATGGTGATCGCTTCCACACTAGACGGGAGACCGGCAAAGATCAGAGCCTGGCGAGCCGGCGCCTGCCCAACGGATCCTTGTAGGACATTACCCATGTACACGTCGGTGATCTTGTCGACGGGGACTTTGGACTTTTCGATTGCGGACTTGATGGCGACGGCGCCCAGCTGCGGCGCAGTTACACTCGTGAATGAGCCATTGAACTGTCGGCCGTGTTAGTTATGAAAGCTTTGCAGAAGCTTACTGAACCGTTTGTTTTTGCCTTTGCTGTCGGTGTTCTCGAGGCACTAATAATGTATGCGTCCCGAATCTCTTGCCGAAGCGCAGCTCGCGTGGAGAACTGACGGGAAGCTGCTTGCCTAGCCAATTGGCTAGGAAGCCTCGATGATTGTCTGATAAACATGGTGGAATATGTTACAAATGGTATCCGATATTTCGCAGCAAAATAGCACAAAGTGATGGCGACTTGAGACGATCTTGCAGAGGGAAAAGGGAGCAAGAAGAAAAAGATAGGAAGGTGGCTTGACAGTTTACTTCGAGAGGGATGAAGCGAGCATGTGGAAGGCGCGGGATGACAATACCCCAGGTTCTGCGGTCTTCCTCGGCTTAAGAGGGGGGTGCCTGAGAGGTACAAGGGCGGGGCCGAGCTTCTAAGTGAGGAGTGAGGTCACTTCCCAAGTTTCCCCCAGGTCCTTGGGGGAACCGATCCCCCACCCCGGACCGTGGAAGTAGGGCCAATTCCGCTCGGAAAGCTCGTCGGGCCAAAGGGGTGGAACCGGTTCCGGCTGCTGCTGCACCGATGCCACTCTTTGCCTGCATTTTGGATGTCATTTTCCCCCGGAATTTCGCGGCATACGGATGATCACCGTTATGGCAGTCCTGCAGCGCAACCATAAATATTGAACAAGCCCACCTTCAAACAAGGTCTTAGTCTGCGCAAGCGGAAGAAAAGCTACACCCCGCCAGTATGCGAGTTGATGTATTTGAGTATCTTTCTATATGCTGCCTCTTAAGGTAAGTTAGGTGCGACGCTCGCCGAAATGACAAAATAGCAAGCGATATGCATGAATCCAACCCATTCGAGTGTCTGTCAGAAGCATCCAGTTGAATAGTCCAGTTTGCGGCCCAGACGGTGTCATGGAGAGACGGGAGGTTTGAGTCGTCACTTCCGCAGGCGTTTGGTACCTATCTTATTGGAGGCTCTTGAGTGTCATTCTGTTATCGGGTGATTCGCGCTTAAAATCGCCCAATATGATTGGACCAAAATGTAAGACCCACTCACTGGCCCAAGCGGAAGGCGGTGGTGAAGGCGAGTGCTTCCCGCGCCATTCTTTTGGACTCTCGCCCGTGATCCATACGACCATTCTACAACTTTCTCCATCACACATCGTAAGTGACGGAGATTTCCAGAATTTTCAGCATTCTCGATACCCAGCGAGGACATATACGCCGATTCCTCACGCTTTGAACCGACCGCCGGGTTCTCGTCCGTCCCTCCTCGACGGCAGTTGCGATCCTCTGACCCCTCAGTCTTGGTAATCAGTCACCGACCGCCACCATGTCTACCGCCGCCCGCCGTCGCTTGATGCGCGACTTCAAAGTAAGCTACGATGCTCAGAATGCCGTTATCTTTTGTTTGATCCTAACGCATCGAGTAGCGTATGCAGACTGATCCTCCCGCTGGCGTTTCTGCCTCGCCCGTCCCCGACAACGTCATGACCTGGTATGCTCGACCAAACCCCGAGTTTCCCTAATGTGCCAACGGCGACTGACAAGGCATGCTTTAGGAACGCCGTGATTATTGGTCCCGCCGATACTCCATTCGAAGACGGTACCTTCAGACTCGTTATGCAGTTCGAGGAGCAGTACCCCAACAAGCCACCTGCGGTCAAGTTCATCAGCCAGATGTTCCACCCGAACGTCTACGCTACTGGAGAGCTTTGCTTGGATATCCTGCAGAACCGCTGGAGTCCCACGTATGATGTCGCGGCTGTGTTGACGAGCATTCAGAGGTGAGAGATGTCCTGCTCGAGAGATCTCGGGTGCCACTCTACAAGCTCCGGAGCTAATGTTTGGCTAACTCGGATCATTAGTTTGCTTAACGACCCAAACACGGGCTCCCCGGCGAACGTTGAAGCGTCGAACCTCTACAAGGACAACAGGAAGGAGTACACGAAGCGGGTTCGTGAGACTGTCGAGAAGAGCTGGGACGATTAAATCGACATGATTATCACGACACATACACACGACAGTTATGAACAAGAATGTCCGCGCCTTACTTCAGCAGGGTATGGCTCGTGTAGGAATAAGCTGCTGGGCTGTGAGGGGATGCTAGAGGGCCGAACGAGGGGCAGATTGACATAAGCTACACCCAGGGCTGACCAGACAGATGTCTTGATCTTCTTCGCATTAAGCAACTGGGGTACCCGATGAGGTGGGAGTGGGGGGATTTGGCGTTTCGGCTCGTGCTGTCCTCTCTAAGTGGCTTTTGGGGCGACCCCATGTTGCGATAGGCGTTTCGTGGACGTGCTTTGCTTTTCCTATCCGTTGAGTCACCCGTCGTCGGTGACGTTAGGTTCGTCTTCATCTGGCTTTACAGGGGAGTTCGTGGGAAGTGCATTTGGGACCTCATGAGTAGCGAAATACCAAATCTGTTGAACAACATGCGGCCCGTAGTTGTTTATTATGAATTCACAGGCGAAAGCGGAGCAGTCCACCATGACAAGACTCGCCCAAAAGGCCAATCTCCAACTCTCAGTCCACTTGGTCAACCGTGCAAAGTGCAAACTCTCGTCAGCAAATCTCTGTCGCGTGCTCGGCCGGACGTTCCTCTAATTAGTGTGCAATGCGCCGGGCCATCTGTAGTACCAACATGCCTGCCCGTCATGGTCAGTGTGCAAGTGCAACCAGTCCCGTTGGGCACTGCATGGGCGATGCGTTCTGCTGTATCCGTCCATTCCAGCAGTAGAACAGGGGACTTTACCCATCTGGGATGGGGACCCCTCGGCTGTGCTTTGGGAAAGACGACGAGGTGGGGATGAAACGACCAGCGTGAAATGACCATGGCAGGATGGGATTGGTTTGTTTTTGGGCCTGACTACCTACCTTACCTCACCTTAGCAGTGACTTGTGACTTTCCATGGGAACTGAAGGAACTGTGGGAAGGTACCCGTGGACCTTACTTCCCCCCCTCTGCACCTGCATTCTGTGCTTTGTCTTGCTGCCATCAAATAATTCTACGCGATTTCTAGCGCGTCCCGTCATTTGCATCTCAACCCCCCAAGAGCCCCCCCAAAACCCGTTTCCCAAACAATACAACCCACATCTCCCTCCTCTCTCGCTTTCTGACCGACTGCCTTTCTGGCTGCTACTGCTGCTGGTTTGTGCTGTCGCTGTTCCGTTCTCCTTGCATCATCGCCCTGCAACACCTGCGATATGTCATTCTAGCAGCCTTTCCACATCCGCACACCGTCATTTCATCCCACCCGCCTTGTTTGTGTGTGTCCTTTCAACACAACCCCCCGTTGCCGAGCTGCGGCCGCCGAGTGCCTCGCAACCACAAAACCCCCTATCTCGCAGCATCTTGTCCCGATCGCAACCTCACGACCCCGGCTTCGACCTCGCTTGGTCTGAAAACCCATCACCATGTCTGGCGCAAACAACAGTATCAAGGTTGTCGCCCGATTCCGTCCACAGAACAAAGTGGAACTGGCGTCGGGCGGCCAGCCCATTGTCTCCTTCAGCAGTGAGGAAACATGTACTCTGGACGTAAGTGCCTCTCTATTCGGTGCTTGATATCGCGCGTGCGGGCACTCAGTTGACAAATATAATTCTATAGTCCAAGGAGGCCCAAGGCTCCTTCACCTTCGACCGTGTCTTCGACATGGAGTGTAAGCAGTCCGATATTTTCGACTTTTCCATCCGATCGACCGTCGATGATATTCTCAATGGTTACAACGGAACCGTCTTTGCCTATGGTCAGACGGGTGCCGGAAAGTCCTACACCATGATGGGTTCCAGCATCGACGACGAGGAGGGGCGAGGTATTATCCCCCGTATCGTCGAACAAATCTTCGCCAGTATCATGTCTAGTCCCAGCACTATCGAGTACACGGTTCGAGTCAGTTATATGGAAATCTACATGGAGAGGATTCGCGATTTGCTTGCGCCTCAAAACGACAACCTTCCCGTCCACGAAGAAAAGAATCGCGGTGTCTACGTCAAGGGCCTTCTCGAGGTCTATGTCTCCAGCGTCCAGGAAGTCTACGAGGTTATGAGAAGAGGTGGAAACGCCCGAGCCGTTTCTGCAACCAACATGAACCAGGAATCTTCCCGCTCGCATTCCATCTTCGTCGTCACCATTACCCAAAAGAATGTCGAGACCGGATCGGCAAAGAGTGGTCAGCTTTTCCTGGTCGATTTGGCCGGTAGCGAAAAGGTTGGAAAGACCGGTGCCAGTGGTCAGACGCTGGAGGAAGCAAAGAAGATCAACAAGAGTTTGAGTGCTCTCGGAATGGTCATCAACGCCTTGACCGACGGCAGATCATCCCACGTCCCCTACCGCGATTCCAAGTTGACCCGTATCCTCCAAGAATCTCTTGGAGGTAACAGTCGGACAACACTCATCATTAATTGCTCTCCCAGTAGTTACAACGACGCTGAAACCCTTGGCACCCTCCGATTCGGTACTCGTGCAAAGGCAATCAAGAACAAGGCCAAGATCAACGCCGAGCTCAGTCCCTCCGAACTCAAGGCACTGCTCGGCAAGGCCAGAGGCCAAATTTCGACTTTCGAAACGTATCTCTCAAATTTGGAAGGCGAAGTTCAGCTCTGGCGTGCCGGAGAGGCCGTTCCTAAGGACAGATGGGTGGCCCCCTTGTCCGCAGATGGCGTAGCTGGGACTAAAGCCGAAGCAAAGGCGCCTCGTCCTTCAACACCATCCCGCCTCCTACCCGACAGCAGATCCGAGACCCCAGCCATCTCCGAGCGGTCAGGAACACCAAGCTTACCACTCGACAAGGATGAGCGCGACGAGTTCCTGCGCCGGGAGAACGAGCTCCAGGACCAGATTGCCGAGAAGGAGTCTCAGTATAACGCAGCAGAAAAGACTCTTCGGGAGACCAAGGAGGAGCTTGCCTACCTCAAGGAGCACGATGCGAAGACTGGGAAGGAAAATGAGAAGCTGAACGGGGAGGTGAACGAGGTCAAGATGCAGATTGAGCGACTTACCTTTGAGGGCAAGGAGGCGCAGATCACCATGGATGCGCTCAAGGAGCAAAACGCCGAGCTGACTGCGGAGCTGGACGAGGTCAAGCAGCAGCTTCTGGACGTGAAGATGAGCGCCAAGGAAACAAGTGCCGTCCTCGATGAGAAGGAGAAGAAGAAGGCTGAGAAGATGGCCAAGATGATGGCTGGCTTCGACCTCGGGGCCGATGTGTTCAGCGACAACGAGAAGGCCATCTCGGAGGCTATTTCCCAACTGGAGGCCCTTCACGAGGTCAGCTCCACTGGCGAGGTTGTCAACCCAGATGAGCTTCAGGCTCTGAAGTCACGCTTCGTCGAGATCCAAGGAATCGTTAGACAAGCTGAGCTGTCTGTCTACAGTGCTTCCTCGAGCGAAGCAGATGCCCGTCGCAGAGCCGAGCTCGAAGACCGCCTCTCGGCTCTTCAGCAGGAGTACGAGGAGCTCTTGACCCGCAACCTTGGGGAGAACGATGTCGAGGAGATCAAGGCTCGCCTGGAGAGTGCCTACTCCAACAAGCAGACCACGTCCATGGAGCTTGTTGATGAGCTCAAGGCCGAGATTGCCCAGAAGGCTGCCGAGAACTCCAAGATGAAGACTCTTATCGAGGATCTTCAACAGAGAGTCAAGGCTGGTACCGCCGCGCCCATGGCGAACGGCAAGTCGATTCAGCAACAGATTGCCGAGTTCGACATTATGAAGAAGAGCCTTATGCGCGATCTTCAGAACCGTTGCGAACGTGTGGTTGAGCTCGAAATCTCGCTTGACGAGACAAGAGAGCAGTATAACAACGTGCTCCGCTCATCCAACAACCGGGCCCAACAGAAAAAGATGGCCTTCCTGGAGAGGAACCTTGAGCAGCTTACTCAGGTTCAGCGCCAGCTCGTCGAGCAGAACTCGGCACTGAAGAAGGAGGTGGCCATTGCTGAGCGTAAACTCATTGCTCGTAACGAGCGCATCCAGAGCTTGGAGAGCCTGCTACAGGATAGCCAGGAGAAGATGGCTTCTGCGAACCACAAGTACGACCCCCTTGCGATCCATGTTTCTGTCTACCCTTCAATCTCTCAATCTCTGTTGTCCATTTCTGCTTTGCGCCGTACCAGTGCTAACGATTCGTACCCTATAGGTTTGAGGTTCAGCTTGCTGCTGTCAAGGAGAGGCTAGAGGCAGCCAAGGCTGGCAGCACTCGCGGCCTGAACTCTCCCTCGCTGGGCGGCTTCAGCTTCTCTGGTGCTGGCAGCCGCATCGCCAAACCCCTCCGTGGCGGTGGTGCTGATAACCAGGGACCTTCCATCCCTGTCATCAACAGCATCCAGCAGAACGAGGGCAGTGCCGGCAAGCGAAGCAGTTGGTTCTTCTCTCAGAAGTCTTAAGTTGCATACCGCATGCCCTGTTATACCCTTGATTCTTGGGGCACCCTGACGTCGAGAGACCGTACAGGGAGGTACGCCCTCACCCTTCGAATAGACACACGACAACGTACAAGTTAGATTACAGCTTGGTGCGGACTAGACCACTATACCCCCGCTGTGTTGATCCTGGCGGCGGCAAGACTCCCTTGCTCTTCACAGAGGCCTTTCTTCACCTTGGATTTTCTTGGTCAGTATACTGGAAAAGAAGAAGACGACGAAATTCGCAAAAGATTCACATGCAAGCTCGAGCACAAATTACGGAACTGGGACAGAAGAGGCTTCCCTCTCTCTTTTGATGTTGAATTTTCTTCTTCCTCCTTTTCTTTTGTTTGGGCGGGTCTGCATTGCTGTTGGATTCTGGCTTGACAAGCAAGTTTCTGGGCGGTCTTTTGTCATTTTCGGTCAAGAAAGGAGGATTTTGGTGGCCGTGGGAGGGGGGAGGGTCGAAGGGAAATGATGAGATCCCTTTTGTGCGTGTGAGGGCGGACAACCGACACCACGAGAACATACAGGATGGATGAGAAGAATGGCTGACCAGGCAAAACATTTTTTGCCTTTTCGCCGCCGCTGCTGCATTGTCTGGGGAGTTGGTATTGTTCACGAAAGGACCTCACTACTTATGAAACCCAAGACATTTGACGGTTTAATGACACTAGAAAGAAAGACTTTAGCTGCTCACGTTCTGATGATGATTATGGTGATGCAGTGATCTCAATCTTTCAATCTGTTTTATTTGGGGTATGGAGTTGTGATCACAAGACACAAAGCAGAGACTATCCAGCTAGCTAAGAGACGATTTAGTGCATGGTGATGCGCAAACACAACTACAGCCTATCAAGCTTTATCCGCTTTCTTCCCATCAACGCATCCTTGCGAGCCTTGAAGGGGGTAACCGATTACATAAGTGCAATTGCCGAAGAGTTTGAGAGAGATATGGCGCCTGTAGATTTCATATGCTAGCCAAATGTTTATTTAGCGAGCTTGCTGAAGACGATAATCTCGGGAATGACAACGGCGGCCATGAGCGCGAAAGCGGCAAAGGAGACGGCAAAGATCTTGACGTAGAGGATGACGAGGCGCTTCCAGGCGTTGCGGGAGAAGCCGCTCCAGGCGTCGTCCATGGTAGCGTAGCCCTTGCCGCCGACGACGCGGGGCTCGACCTTGCCCTCGAAGGAGCGGTCAAAGGGGATGATGGTGTTTGCCTCCTCGGGGATGAGGGAGGCCTGGACGCGGACGAGGACGACGTGGGCGGGGATGACGATGATGATCTGGAAGGCGATGCTGATGAGGGTGATGACGATGCTCTTCCAGGCGTCGGAGCTCTGGGGCTGGGAGACGACCGAGTTGGGCTTGCCGAACTGGAAGTTGGGGAGGTCGAGGCCGAGGGCCCAGCCGACGGCGATGGGGACCCAGGTGGCGACCTGCTCTGCGAGCCAGTAGGCGGCGACGGGCTTCGCGGTGGCGTCAAAGGTACGCTTGAAGGGCGGGAGACGCTTCCAGAAGTAGTCGGAGCTCGAGGGGGTGATGACGATGTGGACCCAGACAGCGGAGAGCTGGACGAGGGCGAGGGCGGAGAGGAGGGTCGCGAGGGAGGCGAGGATGTCCGGGAGGAAGGAGGAGAAGATGCCAAAGAGAAAGTTGGTCGCGAGGGCCTGGACAAAGTAGACGCCGAAGCCGCGGAAGTTTGAGCGCCAGCCGCCGTAGGTGGTCAGGAGGCGGTTGATGGAGCGGATGGAAGAGGTGACGGTGGTGGGGCGGCCTCCGGTCACCTTAGTCTGGGGGACGGGGCCGTCGGGGCGGACCTCGGGGCCGGCGGAGGGGATGGCGCCTTCATCTTCGGCGAGGTTGACGGGGTCGTAGGCGGGCGGGTTCTCGTCCTCGACGATGGCGAAGATGGGGTAGACCTGGTGGAGGGTGTAGGATGTCTAGACAGTGCATGTGTTAGCGATAAAGGGTTCATCATATGAAGAGCCAGACTGAAAGTGGCCTCGGAAGGGAGGCGGGAGACAAGGCTTACCCAGAGAATGATGGGGAGGAAGACGATGAAGTCGGCGAGGAAGACCCAAAAGGACCAGCCGGGAAGCTGGGGTTCGCGAGGAGTCTCTTCGACGGCCCTCTTGTAGACGGCGTCGGCAAAGTGCTGCAGCCGCGTGTACATGTTTGCGATTTGCTCGGCTCCCAAAATCAAGACAGCAATGATGATGATGCTGGGAAAAGTACGAATGTTGGAGTTTGAAGGTTCTTTTAAAATGAAGGGAAAGAATGAATCGTTGGGAAATGGAGGGGTGTCAGACGTCAAAAGGGAAACGAGCTCTAGGCGGCGATTCACTTGAACATGTCACTGGTCACTGCGCAGCTCCTGCGCCGGGGGGTCACCTCACCTCAATCTACCGGGCGAGGTACTTTGTTGTGACGCGTGAGACGCACTGGGGAGGAAAGTACCTTGCAGAGGAATTACTACCTTACCAGTACCTAGGGAAGTACGCCACCCAGGATCTTGGGGAGGCGTGGATGCACGACCTATTAGTGGATAGCGGCAGCTTTCCACCAGGCAGCAGGCTGACACAGCCACTCTCCGTGCCCCACTAAATCCTTCCACATCGGACATTTCGCCTCCCAGCAGCCAACGGAATGGGCGGTATCGTGGAACGGAGTAATGGCGATGCGCCGCGCCATACGGTCTCTGATTCTCGGACAAGCGAGGAATAAGCGACGAGTGACGAAGAGCGAAGACCATTGAAGCGATTCTCCGGATCGAAGCCAAGATTATGAACGTAATTAAGTTGTCATTCCATGACCATCCTGGCTTTGAGCGGTACCGCTGGGCAGGGCTGTTGAGCTGCTGGAACTAGGTTTCTGTGCCGCCAGCTTGCATGCCTGCTTACCTGCAATGTCTACAACTTCACGCCGGCTCGCGCTTTTCCACTTGCTTCTTCCATTTTGTTCGTCGAGATCAGGGCAACGTTTTGGCGCCCGGCCAAGGTTGACCTTTTTACGAGGCTGTTGACTTTGGGATATTCGACGCTTGCGTCGCCTTATTCCTTGACGGCTCTGTTCGCCATTTGGTCTTTTGGGGGAGAGGAGGCCGCCTGCTTGAAACCTGTTATTTGGCCTTTCCTTTCTCAATTTGTAGCATCCTATCTTTGCATGATTGGCATCGGACTCTGTTCGTCGGTTTCGAAAAAGTCTCTATGCCATCCGTGACATCGGACGATCCCTCCAAGAAAGTTTGCAGACCATCGAATAACGAGCGGCGCGTGTTCTTGAAGCCTATTCGGCCATTAGGTGCCCAACCCCGACATATCCGAAAGGATTCGGACATTTAGTTTGGGGTCCTTTCAGACACTGGCCCCCTTAGAAGTGTTTTTGTTGACGATGTCTACCTTACAACTCATTGGTAAAATGTTGAGCCATGCACGCTCGGTGTTGATTGTACCTTTTGGTCACCACGTTCCGAGAAGACTACATTATGATTCGAGTATAACTCATTAAAACCGAGCTTTGAGGTTCTGGCATTCGTGTCTGCATGTAGACTCCTCTCAAATTGGCTCGACAGATCTGCAAGCAGTTGTGTTAGTACCATTGCTGTGTAGATGTTCTTCTCGCTGCCATGTCTTGATTTCGTTGGCAAAGTGTATGTTTCGGTGACTCGGAATGTGATGTCATTGAGCAATCAGTGTCAGACTTTGTAATCCTGATCTACCAGTGGTCGGTCCTGTCAACTCATCGGATGCCATCATGCTTTTGGCTCTCGACATATTCTTCCTAATCATGGTACCAGGTAGAACGCTTTTCGTGTGGGCTGGAAAGAGAGAAATGAATGGATCCGGTCCAGGTAATAGTCAATCCTGGGTGATTCATTCCACTTCAACGCCAAAGGTGTTAGGTAGCTTCTGCATCTTTCTGATCCTCGGCATTCGTAAGCAGCGCTCTGATAGATGTTACATATTCGACAAGTCTTGGGTTTTCAGATCCGAATGCTCGTACGAGAGGTGAGTGCTGAAAAGGGCTTGGGTGTCTGGTATGAGTGAGTAGTGGTTTCGGCGATCTAATGCTCGGAACATAGGTACCTAGTCAAGCTTGATGACTAAGAAGTCAGTCAAACCGACAACCAAGTCTACAGGAACTTCAAAACTTACTCTAAGTTTCGAAGACTATTGCGGATATATCGTTAACTCTTAGCAAAAGATGGAAGACGACGTTGCGGGGAGTGCCAGGCACCGGCCCTTAGTGGACAACGGAGTCGGCTCCGAACCGTTAGAAGCGTCTAGGCACGGGCCATACCCTATTCCACTGATTGACACGCAGCGTTGCACTACGATGCCCCACCTAACAGTTTCCCTCCTACGTCACCCGCACCTACACTCACTAACGCTGCTCCCGGAACATCTTCCACCTCACGGCCACTCCCCCGCAACAACATACCTCATGTCTGGAAATCCAATACCGAACCTGCTCTCACTCCGCGGAGCGAGAGGTGGCCGGGTTGGTCGCGGGCGCGGAAGAGGTCCCGGCGGCGGCCCCTCATTCTCGGGCCCGACTCACGATCAGACGATTCAAGGAACTGACGATGACGCTGCCGGCTCACGTTTGAGTTCTGTCAATGTGGGATATCTCGCCGACCCATACGCACACTTCTTTGTCGATAACATCAATGGACCCCCTCCAAGGAGACTCCCCATCATCAATCGAGGTCCGTGTCTCTGGTCTGCTTCCGTCGAGTATGGAGGTTGACCGCTATCTCAGGCACTTATACGAGGACCGTTGCTCTCGATAATCTCATTGACAGCTTCTTGGACGAGTCTGACAGTGCGCAACCCGGTTCAAATGAGAGACAAATTATTTCACTAGGCGCTGGCACCGACACACGCCCATTCCGTCTCTTTCCCAGGGCAAAAAGGCCTCAGCTGGTCTACCATGAGATAGACTTCTCAGTCACAGTTCGCAAGAAGGCACGTATAGTGCAAGCAGCCCCTCCATTGCGAAACATCCTCGGAGTCCCCTCGGTCGAGGAAGACGGTTCATGGAGCTGTCAGCCATCCGCGTCAGACAAATACTATTGTCATGCACGGGATCTCCGAGAAATGGTGCAAGACGGCGCAACACCTCTTGCGGGTATCAGAACAGACATTCCTACTCTACTCATCTCAGAATGCTGCCTCTGCTACCTAGAGACATCTATAACGAAGCAAGTTGTATCTTTGTTTGAGCAAAAGATTCCGAATATCGCCATTGTGGTGTACGAACCAATCCGGCCTGACGACCCTTTCGGCAAAATGATGACCTCCAACCTCGCAGCAAGGAGAATACGCATGCCTACTCTGGAGAATTACAAGCTGCCGCAGGATCAGACGCAGCGTCTCCGCGATGCAGGCTTCGAACACGCCAAGGCGCTGACCGTGGAACGGATTTGGGAAAGCTGGGTGCCAAGTGAGGAAAAGGAGAGAGTGGACCGTTTAGAGGGCCTCGACGAAGTGGAGGAGTGGAAGCTGTTGGCTGACCACTACGTTATCGCATGGGGATGGAGAGGCGCCGGATTTACGATGGGAAATGCCGACGGGGAGCTGTGAGTGACCCAAGCAAGCCGCAAGACAGCTGTGCCGCTTCGCTTAAGCAGAGACATTATTAATTGAGATGTGTCTCAAACCGGCAAACCAACGCTGAACTGTCAGCTACCCCCCTTTCTGACAGATGATTTATTCCCCCTTCGTCACCAACCTAATTGAGGCTCTGCTTGGCTTCTCGGACTTGGATTTTGATGGTTCTCTCTCGAGTCACCATGATTACGGGGACGTTGCATGCGTGGTCCTAGGAACCTCTCCCAGGTCGTCTCTTCCGAGGTAATCACGTCTATCATTAGTACTTTGAGCAGCCAAGCTGCAGTTGGCCGCTGTAAAAGCAGAGCTCACCTACTTTGACGGTTTAACCCAACTATCTCGGCCAACACCTTCCCAGCCCGGCGTCTTTTCCGTTCCCGCGTCGGTTGGAAGCCGGCCCACGGCTTCCGACTTCCTGATTGTCGTTGGTTGGTGACGGGCTTGGTGTGCGTTCTTGCACCAACCAATCCTTCCCTTTCCCTATCAGGACTCCAAACCCACTCTTCTCTAGCAAACAATGCAAGTGAGCCAACCTCGCCCGAGAGGTGCTTTTTGCCTCATCCAACACGTTTCTGTCTTCTGTTGACGCAAGCCCACCCGCGATGTCTCTGATTATCCTTCTTCATCCTCGCCGAGTGCTTCTGTTTCGACTGCGATATCTACCGAGCGACTGAAGCGACAATGGCCGCGAGAATACTAGACATACTTCCGGCTGAGACTCTCATCAGCATCGCGGGGCATCTCGACGGCATTGCCGGACCGGATTTGTCCTCCTTTTCCCTCACCAACAAAGCCTTTCATACCGCCGCCGCTTGCTTCTTGTTCCGCGACATCCACATCCTCGTCAAGCATCCTCGGAGACTACAGCGCGATGTCGATTCCTGGCTCGCAATTCTGGGACGCACAAACTCCGCCAGGCATGTCAGGCGCCTGAAGATGACCTTCCTGGACAAGTCGCTCCCTCACAGTGATCTCTACTCGCCTGATCGACACATGATACTACCGGTTCCAAAGGAAACCTCGTTCGATTTCAAGCATAGGTCGCCCGAGAACCGACGCCTCCGCGATGCCTTTGTCGATCCCGAAGCCTGGACTCCCATGATCAGACTGCTCGAAGCCCTGCCCGGACTGACCAACATGGTCATTGAACATGAGAGCAGCTTTTCGCCTCTTCTCCTCGAAACCATCCGCACGCATCACCCAAGTTGTCGGCTAGAACTCAATGGTTTCGATCTTCACTGCAGCGAAGGCGCTGCGATCAATGCGCATGATGTTGCACTTCTACTTGCACCCCAATTGCATAGCATCTCTATAAAAGAGTATTACCAGACGTCCATTGCACATACAAACGAATCGGTCATGCTACGTCTCATCGGAGGCCTATCACCGAATCTCAAGACAGTAAAGCTGGAACCATTCTTCGGAGGCAGACATAAGCGAAAATACGACGCAGATTTCGAGAATGAGTTGCAAGCGTTGATCGCGCAAATACTCAACCACAGTCTCATACCTGGAAAGGATCTGTCAAGGATTTCGAAGTCACCAGAGCTCGGTTCACTGCGTTCTCTGACACTACAGAAAACCAATCCCGATAGGCTCATGGCGTGGTTCAGGGCAACGGACTTCGCGGCACTGCGTCATCTGAGATTGACCGCAAGTCCTGGAGAGTTACCATGGCTTACAACGCATGCCAGATTCCACAAACTTGAAAGTCTAGAGTTAAACTACAATGAAGTTGTCGTTGACCCCCGACCTGCTTGGGAGGGGGTCGCGAACCGTGGAGACGTCGCTGTTGAGTTCCTAGCCATCATGCCAGCCTTAACATCCCTCTCGCTCGAGGGCAGAGTACCTTCACCAGCCGTCCAGTTTGCGTTGTCCAAATTTGGAGGATGCCTGCGCAAACTAAGCATTCGACCCTCCTACGGCTCTCATTCCATGCAGGAGTATCCCAGAATCGCGCCGCAGGACTTATGCGTGCTATCTAAGACATGCATGTGGGTGCAGGATCTGACGGTCACGATCACTGTACCTACGTTCCAAACGAGCTCACCAGAGATGATAGAGGCAAGTGAGTGTCTTGGGCGGATGCGGAGCCTCCGAAATCTCTACCTGACACTTCGACATTCTGAACTTAAAGTGCGGGCTGGAGATGGCGGGTGCAGACGAAGAGCTCGTGCGTATCAGAGAAAACTCGAAATGACGATAGAGGCAGATGCGGCGGGGGTGACACCCGCGGAGGTTGCCAAGTCGGTCTGGGAGACAATATGTGGACAAGGCTGCCGCTTGGAGTTACTTCAGCTTGACACTATAGGTGACTGGGGTGGCACACGCAAGTCTGACCGTGTTCATCAGATTCGTAGAGTCGGAGCCATGGGTGAAGGTTTGGTGGAGACCGCCTTATTCCGAGAGAACGGGAAACTATTCTGGAGAGACTGATCCACAAGAGTACTTAGATCTCATCATCGTCTTCGCTAGAGGCAGAGTACATCTGAAACTCGACGTGAAAGTGCGGATATCGTTTGCAAGGACCATGTTGGGGTTGTATATAAACGAGACAGTTTGTACTTGATTTCACTTTAGGACGTATTTGCCAATTTTCGACATTGGTGTCTGTGTGAGCTATACCCTATATCGAGTAACTTTGTCTCTGCATACAATTCAATCATCTTGACCTATTAATGGCTCCTCTACAATAATGTTAACGCCTCTCAAGAGCGGCGTATCTCCGATTTCTATGGAACGCAGCACTCAACGCCTCTGCAATGCGAAACTGACTTATCATTGAATGAGCACTACTTCATCGGGTAAGTACTCGTGCCGTTATCTGCGTTCTGGAGCCCAGAAAGTCTCAATAGGCTTGATTCATTTTGGTAGAGACTGCTTGACAAGAATCGTCCTCGTACCAGGACTGAGTTCAACTAGAAACATCACTTCCGATAGACACTTGGCACAAAGGGTGTTCAATGATCGTTCCAAGGCACAGGAGAAGCTTGTTGCTGACCTTTTGGCGGGGTCTCTGACATCATCCATTCTCAACTCGAAGCTATAAGGTATCTTTACTCGTCAAGGCCTTCCACAGCGGGGAACTCCCGTCCACCAAGCCATCACCATAATTGAGGGGTCCATCTCTCAAACTCGGCCCAGCACAAAAACACAGAGAAGCTGCATCTCTCGCCACACAGAACAGACAAAAAGCGTAACAAAAGACCCATTCATCATCAGCCCATCCTCTACTTCAGTAGATGTACCTGAACCCAGCAGCCCTCCTCTCCTGCTTCAGATCGACGGGCGCGGCCTTCTCGCCGCCTCCCTCGGCCAGCGCCGCGGCGTCGTCGAGCTCGGCCTTTTCGAGCTTCTTGTTCTCCCACTTGTGCAGGTAGCGGAGGATGAGGGCGAGAATGGCGACGAGGACGCAGATTGCCGTGTTGGCGCTGCCGCCAGGGACGTATTGGGGTCCCGTGCTGCTTGGGTACACTTGGGTTGGTTAGTCAGTCTAATCAAGTACCGCTTGTAGCGTGATGGGAAAGAAAGGCTGTGAGAACTATCAACGCACTGTAAGATCCGTAGATTGTTGCCGTGTTGCCAATCATGTTGGCGATGGCGATGCAGGCTGAGCGCTTGACGAGTGGTCGTGGGAAGGAGTTTGCTACCCAAGAGACGATGATTTGATCTGTGGGAGTTATACTATTGTCAGACGCTATTCTTTCGTTGCTGGGGAGACTGCATCAGAGGACTTGCATGCGGAGATGGCGCCCATGGGCATGAGGAACATGGCAAAGTATCGCGCGCCGAGGTTGCTCGAGCCGGTGGCGATGGCGTTTCCAGTGGCGGAGACGAGCGTGAGGCATACAATGTGAAGAGAACGGTCTTTAGTCTTTGCAGAGGACCAAGTGACGCAGAGCGAGATGAGGAACGTTGCGGCCTGTGGAAAAGGAGATTGTGAGCTTGGATATCGTCCCCGCGCCCCAGTCTGGAACGTAACCGGAGATCCCATCTAGGAAAGAATACAAACATACCCAAGCAGGCGCAGTCAGCCAAAGCGTCGTGATCTTGCCGTAGCCCAGCGTGCCGACAATGGTCGGGAAAAAGTACTGAAACGTCTGCGAGATGAGGGAGACGTGCTGCATCAGGACAAAGATGTAGAGGCGGTAGTCCCGCACGGCCATCTTGACGCCGTCGAGGACGCTCTGCTCGCCGTACGTATCGGCCTCCTGGATGTCCTCGATGAGGCGCCAGGCGGCGTAAGCGCGCTCCTCCTCTGAGAGCCACTTGGTCGTGTGAGGGTAGTCAGGGAGGATCCACATTGCGACGAGGGAGAATGCGATGGCTGCTACGCCTTCCTGCGTCGATGTGTTTCCATGTCAGTCACTCTCTCTCTAGAACGCTTTGGAATCGTTCCCACACAAGAGACAGGAATGACTCACAATGATGAATAACCACCTCCACCCCGCGATCCCCAAATCCCCCTCCAGACCGCCGAGGATGCCCGCGCCAAGGAGCCCGCCAAACATGTTGGCGAGGGCGTTGCCGGCGTAGAGGTAGGCGATGCGGCGGGTGAGCTCGGCGCGGGTGTACCACGAGGACATGAGGAAGACGGCGCCCGGGAAAAAGGGGGCCTCGACGAAGCCGAGGAAGAAGCGGATGACGATGAGGTGGGTGAAGGAGTCGGCGGCGGCGTTGCAGGTCGAGACAACGCCCCAGAGGCAGCAGGAGGCGGCGAGGTAGAAGGAGGGTTTGACTTTTGTGAGCAAGAGGTTGGAGGGGAGCTGCATCAGGAGGTAACCGACGAAGAAGATTGAGGTGGCGAGGTTGAAGTCGGTTCCCGTCATGCCCAGGTCCCGTTCGAGGGTGCCCTGACGGGCTTGGGCTAAATTAGAGCGGTCGAGGAAGTTAAGGAGGTACTGTGGTTTCGCTTCTTGTCAGGACTATTCGAAACTTTTGATAGAAAGTTTTGTTTGTGCGTTCATGTTTTGAGACTCACCATGACTACGAGGGTCGGCATGAGGCGCCGGTCTACACGACGTAGGAGAGTCTTGTCCATGGCCTTATGCCAGGCCTCATCCTGGCTCGTGAAGTGCTGAGCCCATTCCACGGGGGTCGGGTTCGAGGCCGTGGGCTTCACTACACTCTCGGTCTCGCCCTTCACAGTATTCTCATCCTGTTCTACGCTGGGCTTGTTAGTCTCCATGGTGCCGGCGACAGCTTCTGTTTTTTATCTATATTTTCCGGAGGTCGTCGATGGTATGGCGCGGGGGAAGACGATGAGTGAAAGGTTGGGATGACCTTGAGAAGCTTAAACCCAAGAAGGAACAAGATGAGGTAGTATAGGAAGGCAGAACCTCTCTGGTATAAAGCTACTTTTTAGTAGGATTTCCGTTACCCCGTGGGGAAGAGGGGGCAACACGGGAACTAATTCAATTGCATGGGGAAACGATGAGGGGAAGCTTGCGGTATCAAGCTCGGTAAATGGACTACCGAAGGGAGTTGATGCAACGATGGAAGCGGCATTCTCGCCGATCTCGAGCGTGGGGTTGAGGAGGTTGGAGTTTATGACGCGTGTGTCGCAGGCATCGCATGCGGGTGAGCTGCAGATCAAAGCGACCACGCGCAACTCCAATTCGTCCGACGCACGCAACCCAAGACAATGGGCTTTCTCCACGTTTCCACGTTTCTTTTTGGGAGCCGGCATGAAAGCCGGAAGGGCTTGTTCAATCTCAAGGGTCATCTCATCCCCAAAGATGTAGTCTGTGGATGTTTAACCTCTGTTTGCATGAGCGGGCAGTCGAGATCTGATGCGCGTGCCAATCAGATGAGGTTGTGGGCGGCCGATCTCTCAGGGTGTGTTTGGAGGCAGGGAGGTTACCCCTCAAATGGTTGACCCATCTCCAACTGTTGAACTTGCCATTTTCGGGAACCCGTGATAAATCCGCCTTTTCCGTCTTTCAGTGAGACATGTAAAGTGTTCGTGTTGAAGTAAGACAAGGTAGTGGACAGTGTCTCTCCAGCTCCGTGTAAGAAATTCGAGGGAAACTCTTCGGAATTTTTGGGGGCCTTGATAGACGCGACCGTATCTTTCTACATACTCAATATCAGCCTGCTCAAGTCTACTGTATTGCTTCCTGTCATGTTGCTCCAATAAGACTCCGAGTTTCATTGGCGGAGGATTCAAGCATGGAACGCGGTAGCATTATTTTTTACACTCTTCGAAAGGTGATGATCAAAGACTCGAACTCATGTTTCCACAGGTGACGTCGTCCTCTATAGAGGTAGCAGGATGTGACAAAGACGAAGACAGACTTCCATGAGCAACACTTTACCTCAACCTACGCGTCCATCTCAACTTCCTACCGTCTGCGAGGATAATGTGTATTGATCCCAGCCAGCACACAGGGATTGCTTGGAGAAGCTATCCCTTCGCCTGCGCTCCTTCACGCTAGGCTGGGAACGACTACCAGGAGCAAATTGCCTGAGAGTGACACTGAAAAGCTCGGAAAAGTGACGGGAAGACCACCTCCCGTCTCATTGACAAGTGCCGACGGTATGGGGGCTGCGGGTGATGCACATATGGAAGACAGGCTCGTTGCTTACTGAAACCTTCGGAGCTGTGCTCAGCATACCAAAGGAAGACGAGGCAAGATGGGCCGATCACTTGATACAGGTATGGGCGCAAATATTGGCGCATGCCTATTTTTTCATAATTCTCCTTGGCTTCTCTCGACTTGTCTAATGCGACAGCCTTCTAGACTTGAGCGAGCTCATTATATGGCCTGCTATATGGCCCTAAGGATGCAGCGGGCGGCCCCGGTTAGACCACGAAGTCTCCAGGTCTATTCCAGGGTCCATGTCCGATCCTCGACCAGTGTGTTCCCTCCTTTTCCCTTGCTTGCTTCAATCTTGTGCAAGAAATCTTCTTATTATTCTAACACTTCCCCTGGCAATTAAGATGGATGGAATATGCGAGCGAGCTTTAGGAGTCTACAGCCCGAAGCCCCCAACCATCCAGCCCGGTGATTGCTTATTTCATCATGAGGACATAAAAGTTCCTATAGGTAAGAGGGTGATAGGTAAAAGACTGATACCATATGATGTTAATGTACTCTCGAGTGGAAGGTACGTAAAATCGTGTCTTCAACCCAGCCCAGTGCTATAGACATAACATGGAGGATTCCGCTACATAAGTAGATTGGTAGGGACTGCCGCAAGTTAGTGCCTCTGACAGAATTTGATTATACTGCTTATTGCTCGGATTGGTCGTGTTGGAGATATCTTGGATATATTCGGGACTTCAAGTATGCCATGAGTCGAGGCCAGCATGGCTAACGACAAGAAGTATGCCTCCGGTATATGATAAGGAAAGACTAAGAGGAGCTGGAAAGGGTTACTGGACAGCTCACGTTGATGTCGGGGAACCCCATTGAAGGCTTCGTGAGATCCTTCATTTACGTGTGGTTCAGTTTTGGTACCATATGCTACGTATGGGAATACTTTCCGCTTTGGTCTTGGGAGGAGATGTCGTCTGCATTATCTAACTTCCATGAGCGCTTCACTTTACCTATACGACAAAACTCTACATGACTTTCCAGGGTCGAAAGAGAATGGCGAATAGCAGATGATCCGGGGCACACTGTCTTCCAAGGTCTCAAAGGCCCAAACACTGGGGCATCCCTTCTCTCGACAACTGCGCAGAGACCCCTACTCAAGCACGAACTCATACTCGGATACGAGAACGAGGATGTGCCCGCCGGGAAGACCTACCACGGGCTCCCGCTCGACAGCGAGCGAGCCGTCCGTAAGTCGGGAGGTACCGTGTACAACGGCATACGCCACGTGCCGATCTGGGGCGGCAAAGCTTCTCCTGCGCACGACAACCGACCTCGATTTGCCAGTAGAACTGGGATCAAATCGATGGTTATGTCTGGGATCCGGTTGCTTATAACGTACAGCCATCCATCATATCACAGTAGCAGGGCGTGCTTGGTGTTGGTCGGCACCTCCGAGGCTCAATCAGCGAAGTGCAGGAGAGTAGGCTTGAGGTAGACGATGAGAAATCAAAGGCGTAGGAAACAGTCGGTGAAACTGGAACAGTATGGACCTAAGCAAGATACTTTGTAGAGGTGGCTCTCAAAGAAATCATCAGCCTGCTGAATGTAAACGCCATGAAGCAGGACTGATTACCATCTTTGCGCATGGAAAAGCAGTTCAAGTCACTGATACGGCTATGGATGCCGACTGGCGTCATCGATATGAAGAGAGCAAGCTAAATGATAAAGCGATATTTGAGAAGCTAGCCACTACTCGATACCGCAACACGCGACCAGAAGACGCAGTGCCAGGCTTTATCTCAACCTTGGTCGGAACTTAATGGTTGAGAACTTGGACCGGTTCCGTCAAAGTTCCCAATGGTTTCTTTGGCCCCTGATTAGCTCGTTGACTGCGAAATCAGTGCTGATGAGCTGCTGGTGCGTCCAGTCCACTTTAACTCACGGGAGGTTAACCAAATTGCCACGAGCCGACCACGGAAACCAAGCTGCCATTCAACTGATGACAAACGCGGCTCTCGACAGTCATTGAGCAATACTAGACCATCAACAATGTCGCAAGAGGTTTGAAGTGGTCGCGGTTATTCCGAGTCCTGACAACAAGACAGGAAGGCCTGCACTCTCAGTGGGGTTGAGGTTGCTCTGTTGAGCCAAGCTTAGCTGCTACCCGATGTCGGCCGGTTAGTGATCTCCATCTCGCCATACGAGAGCCGCTGCTAGAGGGGGCCGACACAACGAAACATGCGTCAAGAGTTGCTCCAGTACAGGACTCTTAAAGAGCTCAAGTAAGACTGAGGATATGAGCTTGTTGTGTAGCACTTAGCGCGGGGCACAGGGCTGCTCAAGTTCCTACTCATCAAACCAAGCGAGTAACAGAGCGGGCATGGCGTGATCTGGCCACAGGCCGTATTTCTCGGTTGATGGCTAGAAGAGCGACAGTGCAGGTTCTTTCCACCCAATACTGCAAATGATCAGCAACTGGTGAGGGCCGCCCTTCGGATACGAGATTCATCCATGGAGGAGCTCAAGAATTGCTGGCCGAGGAGGCACAGCTTTCAGCTCAACATTGTGAAGCTGGTCGAGTGAGGCAACTACCATGATGTCTGCCGATGGAGGTTCACACTAACACTGCAGAGCGTATCGGCGACTGCCGCAAGTGTACGAATACAAAGCTAGTTGGTCCGGAATGGACGCCGGGCACACCAGCTCTGGTGCAATCTCGCACAATTTGGTAGGCGCAATTTCCTTACTCCGTCACCAGTAGCCGAGAAGGGAGTGGCCACAGACAACGTCCCCAGATCTATCGCACGGGCTTGGTCGATAGATCGCGTTCGGCGGTTTTGCTGACGACTGACAGACGGCCTGACAGGTTCTCTGCCGTTGGCTCGTTCACCCAGACGAGATGGAGATGGACGGATGGGGACGTTTGGCGAAGGGTTGCTCGGTCTCTTTCCAGATCAAAGTCTCTGCTGCGTATAGAGGCAAAGCACGGAGCACGTGGATTGCAAGTGGAGGAAGATTCATGACATGAGGCTCATGCAAAATGCCCACATGGGCAAGGGGTCGGCATCTCCTCTTCCTCGAGAGCCTGGAGTTGTGCAGTAAATGCTCAGCAAGTCGACGACATGGCATACACAAAGGTAAGAGAAGTCCGTCCTGGTCTGGGGGTGACCGGGTGGAGGTTTGAAGATGGCGGAGGATGAGGTTCAAAAAGGGCAAGCACGTTTCGGTATGTGGTGCGAGTCTGCCAGCCTGCGCGGAGCGACAACCAGCGATTGAGAGACTTCTCTGACTAAGTCTTGGCTCGAAAGGGGCGCGAAGGGGTTGAGAAGGAACGGCCCACTCTCCGGTTATCTAAGGTATCTTAAGTACCTACCTTGACTACGGAGTACCTTAGGTAAGTTACGGAGAGGCCTCGGCACAGTGGAATCTGTGCCAGATACCGCGACAACTGGAGACTTTCTTCCAGAAGCAGAAGGCAAGACCGCTGGGTCGTGTGGCGTTACTGGCGTTGTGTGTTGAAGAAGGCGCTTTGCCGCGTTCCAGTGCGGCAGAAAGATACCGTTGAGAGTCGCCCGAGACATTGTGTTCCCCTGTAGGCTACTAGAGCTAGCCCGCTGCCTACCCAAGACGTGATTCATGCGGTCTT